AATGTCATAAAACAGCATGTGTGTTACTGTTACATGAGAAACTATCTGTTCTGTATGCCTTCACCTGAAGTACAATAAACTATTAAAAAAAAAAAACCTATCAACAAACTACAAATTGAAGGATCTTCCTCAACCTGATAAACACCATCTTAAAAAAAAAAAAAAAAACCTACAGTTAACATCATTGTTACTGTTTGTTGTTAGCTGCCATTATACGTGGTGATCTCATGTATAACAGAACAAAATGTTGCACAGTCCTGTGCCATCTTCATAATCACTAATATGTTTGAGTCCACTGTTGTGGCTATTGTGTCAATCTATCTCATTGAGAGTGTCCCTCATTTTCACTGACCCCCTACTTTACCAAACATGGCATCCTTCTCTAACACCTGGCCTTCCCTGATGACGCGTCCAAGGTAAGCAAGTCATGGTCTCTCCATCCTCGTTTCTAAGGAGCATTCTGGTTGTATTTCTTCTAAAACTGATTTGTCCATTCTTTGGCAGTCCATGGTATATTCAATATTCTTCACCAACACTGCAAAATGAACGCATCAGTTCTTCTTCTTTCTTTTTCATTGTCCAACTTTTGCATGTATATGAAACAACTGAAAATACCATGGCTTGGGTCAGGCATATCTTAGTCAGCAAAGTGACATCTTTGCTTTTTAAAAGTTTAAAGAGGTCTTTTGCAGCAGATTTGCCCAATGCAATATATCATTTGATTTTCTTGACTGCTGCTTCCCTTGACATTGTCCAAGTAGAATGAAATCATTGACAACTTCAATTTTTTCTCCATTTATCATGATATTGTTTATTGGTCCAGTTGTGAGGATTTTTGTCACACTCAATGGTAAAAGACTAATTGCTTTCCCCCTACGACCAGAAGCAAGTCAAGGATGTCTGTTCTCACCGCTTCTATTCAACATTGTACTGGAGGTTCTACTGAGTGCAATAAGATAACAAAAAGAAATAAAAAGCATCCAGATTGAAAAGAAAAAAGTAAAACTGTCTTTTTTCAGACAACATAAGCATCTATACAGAAATTCCTATGATATCTTCAAAAATACTACTAGCATTCATAAGTAAATTCAGTAGGCTGCAAAAAACAAGATCAAAATAAAAATCTATTGTATTTCTATTTACTAGCAAGAAAAAAATCAGAGATTGAAATTTAAAAACAGTATCATTTAAAAGAGCATTAAAAAATATTACCTACTTAGGGATAAATCTGACAAAAGAGCTCCTATTCCTGACCACTGAAAACTACAAAACATTCTGGGAAATTAAAAAAGATCTATATAAGTTGAGAGATATACCACGTTCAGGGATTAGAAGACTCAATATTTAAGATGTCAACTCTCCCCAAATTGATCTATAGCACAACACAATCCCAATCAAAATGCCAAGAGGATGCTTTGTAGAAAATGACAAGCTAACTAAAAAGTTCATATGGAAATGCAAAAGACCTTGACTAGCCAAAAAAAAACTCTGCAAAATAAGAATAAAGTTGGAGGACTTACATTACCTGATTTGAAGTCTTATTATAAGGGTACAGTAATCAAGAGAGTGTGGTATTGGCATAAACACATATAGATTAATGGAACAAACAGAAAGTCCAGAAATACAACCACACATATATAGTCAACTGATTCTCAACAAAGTACAGAAGCAATTCAGTGAGAGTAAAAAAAAAAAGTTTTTCAACAAATGGTGCTGGAAGAATTGGATGCCTATATGCAAAATAAACAGACAAATAGTAAACTTTGATTTATTCCTCATACTATATATTTTTTCTAAATCATCTAAAATTGGATCATAGAACTAAAGGTAAAACCTAAAACTATAGAAGTTCTAGAAGAAACCATAGGAGAAAATATTTGTGACCTCGGCTTAAGCAAATATTTTATAAATACAACACCAAAAGCACAATCCATGAAAGAAAAAATTGATAAATTAGACATCAAAATTAAGAACTTCTGCTCCTCAAAGGACTCTGTTAAGAGAATGAAACAAGCCACAGAGTGGGAAAAAATATTTTCAAATCATGTATTTGATTTAAAAAAAAAAACTGGTCTCCAGAATATATAAAGAATTCTTAACGCTCAACCATAAAAAGACAAATAATCCAACTGAAAAATGAGCAGAGGAATTTGAGTAGATTTTTCTTCAAAGAAGGTATATAGATGGCCAATAAGCACATGAAACGATGTTCAACACCGTTAATCATTAGGGAAATGCAAATCAAAACTACAATGAGATACTACTTGAAATCTACCAGGATGGCTATAATCAAGAAAAAATTTTAAAAAAAAACAAAGTAAGTGTTGGCACTGATGTGGAGAAACTGGAATCCTCATACATTGCTAATAAAATGGTACAGCCCCTGGGGCTCAGAAAGTTAAACATCAAGCAATTCCACTCGTAAGCAGATACCCAAGAGAACTGAAAACATATGCTCACACGAAAATGTGTGTTCAAATGTTCAAAGCAGCATTACTCACAATGGCCAAAATGTGGAAACCCAAATGTTTCTTTTGAGGGTGATAAAAATGTTCTGGAATTAGATACTGGTAATGGTTGCACAACCTTATGAACATATTAAAAACCACTGAATTGTACCCTTTAAAATGGTGACTTTTATAGCGTATGAATTACATCTCAATAACAAAAACTCAACAATAAGAAAACAAACAACCCAATTTAAAAAAATGGGCAAAAGATTTGAACAGACACTTCACCAAAGATGATATATAAATGGCAAATAAGCATACAAAAAGATGCTCAACATCATTAGTCATTAGGGAAATAAGAATTATAACCACAATGAGATGCCACTATACATGTTCTAGAATGTCTCAAATTGAAAAGATTATACTAAAAAGGAAAAAATAAATAAAAAGACTATACAAATGTTGGCTAGGACGTGAAACAACTGGAATACTCATACACTGCTGGTGGGAAAGTAAAATCACTTTGGAAAACAATTTAGCAGTTTCAGAAAAAATTAAATATTCATTTACCATACAAACCAGCCATTCCACAACTAGACATTTACCCAAGAGAAATGAAAGCATATGCCCATACAAAGACATGCATGTGAATGTTCATAACAGCTTTATTTGTAACAGCCAAAAACTGGAAACAACCCAAATGTCCCTCAATAGGTGAATGGCTATGAGGATATACAAATTGGGGTATATCCATATAATGGAATGGCATTCAGCAATACAAACGAATGAAATATTGACACGCAACAACACTGATGAATCACAAAATATAATGTTGAATGAAAGAAGCCAGACAAAAAGAATATGCACCGTCAGATTTCATTTGTATAAAGGTTTAGAAAATACAAACTAAACTAAATTGATGGAAAGCAAATCAGTGGTTGCTTTGAGGGGGAAGGATGGGAGAGATTACATGAAGAAATTTTAGGGAGTGATGACTATGTTCATTATCATGATTGTGGTGATGGCTTCATCATGTCTACATATGCTAAAACTTATCAAATTCTACACTTTAAATATACACAGTTTGCTGTTGTTGTTCTCTGCCATCAAGTCTATTCCGACTCATGGCGACCCCATGTGTGCAGAGTATAACTGCTCCACAGAGTTTTCAAGACTGACTTTTTGGAAGCAGATCACCAGGCTTGTCTTATATGTAGTTTATTATACATCAATATACCTTAATAAAGCTGCTTCGAAAAAAAGAAATTATACTCTAAAAAGTAGATAGCATATCAAAATTTGAGCGACACAGGTAAAGCAGTGCTTCTAGAAAAATTTATATCTTAAAATTCTCTATTTTTCTAATAAAGGTATATAACCAATGACCAAAGAAGCTAAAAAATTACGAGCAAAGTAAACAAAGTTGTTAGAACTAAGGAAATAATAAAGAGAAGTCAACGAAAAAGAAAACAAACAATATAAAAAAATTAATTTAGCACAAGCCACTTCTCACTGCATCTACCCAAATAAAAACTTCAAAACGCCATGCTATTGTACCTCTATAAAAGAAACTGGCTTTGGTTCCAACCATTCTTTTGAGGTGAGTTTGGGAAGTATGCCAGGTATCAGCTCATCACTGCTTAAATTTTTCATTGTGATCACAAATAACAGGGCCCCTAGAAAAACTAAAAGTTAGTTTATTTAGTAATATAAACTCACAAACTTCTCTGTGTAAATATTACTAGATATTGTGACCAATGAACGGACGTGTAAGGGATTAGCAGCATTAGCCACCCACGCTTTCCCTAATAGGAAGCCTTCCCTTGGCTTCGGATGTCTTCAGAGCCAGCCTCCTTTAAGTAGGGGAGGTTCTCTTTGGATTAAATCGTCCCTCCCACCTCCACTGGTCTCTGGAATGGCTTCCCAGCTCCTACAATGTTTCCCATTCAAACCGGCGTGGCAATTTCAGCCTGGCCTCTAGAGGCGCACTTGAACAGTTTTCCGACTTTGGTGGCCTTCAAATAGAGGGTCGCTATGAGTCGGAATCGACTCAATGGTTATGGGTTTGGTTTTGGTAAAAGGGAAGAATTGCAAGTTTCAGGTTATTGGAACACAAAGGCTGGGCTGTTTAGGAAGAGAAAGAGGAGCTTTCGAACAGTGTTTGCAAGGTAAGAGTAGCCCAAAGCCTTCCCCCAGGAGTCTGAGGAAAACGCTGTTATTAGAGGTTGCGCCAGTTGTACACCTACCGCAGCCACCCTTTCCCCACAACTGTCAGCAAAATGCCTGCTGCTTCGACCCCCAACCCTTGGCCGACAACCCTCGCGCGGAAGCTTCTGGCAGGGAGCTTTGCCGGCCGCGAAAGGCACCTCCACTCCCCTCCCCAGACTAGCAGGGCCTTCGGCTATTCCGCACCACGCTGGAGCCCAGGCCGAGGGCCCAAGGCCCCCGTTTCCCGTCCGGATGCGGCGGGAAAGGGAGCCAGCCCCGGCCTGCAGCCTGGTCAGCTAGAGCCCGTCTCTCCGGAATGTGAGAACGTTCGGTCCAATGTCTCTGGGACGCAGCCCCGCGCGGCCCTTCCGCTGCGGCGGACGACAACGAGTCCCCGCGGCTCTGAAGCGGGCGGAGGACTCCGAATTCGTCCGGGGCCGCAGAGTCCGGCCACACTAGCCCACGCCGGCCCTTGCCCGGGGCTCTCGCGGCCCCAGCCTGCCGAACAAGGAACTTGAAAGCCGATTGGGTCCAGCTCTCGCTGGCAGGGCGTGGTTTGTCTGACAACCGGGCTGTAGTCCCTGCTTCTCCATGACGGGCAGCCGTCACAACCAATAGCAGTGCAGTCTCCTTCCCACCCCGGATTTCCTCCGCGTCCGTTGAAGAGAGAGTCTTCAAACTCGCCAGCCAGTCTAGAAGCGCTTGTCTCCTGTTGTGAGGGAATGTTTGGTTCAGTCCTTGTGTGGGCCGTTTCGCTCCCTTAAGTCTTCGGTTCCTTAAACGCGGCTTTCCAACCAACCGAACTGGGAATTAACCTCCCCTACAGCCCTACTTTGGGGGGACCCCTTTGGGACAAATTACCAGGAGGGGTGTGGCGGGAAAAGGGGCGCCTTCCTTTCAGTATCCTTTGGAAGGGCGAGTGTTTGTAGAGGTTGTTCTGGTGAGGACGGCCCAAGAAGACCTTGGGACTTACGAGAAAATGTTGGTTTAAGTGCCCTAAAGATGTTTTTGGTCCGCTGGGGTGTTGATCAGTGTCCATATTTGGCGCTGATGCTGGTCAGTGTGGAGGGAGTGTGAGGATTCATGATCACCGTTTTTCATTTAGTCTTGTTTACTTGGCTGCCCATTTCATGGGGGGGAAGGAGGAGAATGTTAAACATATTGATGACTGAGACCCATCCTAGACCAACTGAAAATGGATCCCTGAGAGTGAGACCTGCCTTTTTTTGGGGGGGGGGGGGCAGTGTTCATCCCCAACTGATTCTGATGCAAACCATTGACCTAGCTAGAAAATTATGAGGCTGTGGTTTTCCGAGCCCTGGTAGTGTAATGGTTAGGTGTTTGGCTCTTAACCAAACAGTTGGCATTTCAAATCCACCCGCTGCTTCTTGGAAACCCTGTGGGATAGTTCTACTCTGTCCTATATGGTCACTATGAGTCGGACTGGAAGGCAGTGGGTTTGGAACCCACTCTCTGTGAACTGCGGTTTTTTATTGTTATTTTCTTCTTTAAGTATTGGTAGATTGCTAGATGATGGGCCAACTTTTTGACTCTTCATTTTTTCAAAGTACACATGACCTATTGCCATCCAGTCGATTCCGACTCAGCGACTCCATAGGACACGGTAGACCTGTCCCAGAGGGTTTCCAAAGAGTGGCTGGGGGATTTGAACAGCCCACCTTTTGGTTAGCAGCCAAGCTCTTAAGCACTATGCCACCAGGGCTCCAAAGTACACGTTTGAAAAAAACCCTTGCCATTGAGTGGATTCCAACTCACAGTGAGGACCCTATAGGACAGAGTAGAACTGCCCTATATGGTTTCCAAGCAGCGGCTGGTGGATTCGAACTGCAGACCCTTTTTGGTTAGCAGCCAAACGCTTAACCACTTGCACCACCAGGGCTCCAAAGTGTACATAGTGATATTAAAACAGTCTGCAGGGACTTTTGTATTCACATGCCTTTTAAAAGCCAGCCAGAGTGGATCACTTCCCTTTTTCAGAGCTGGGGGAGCATGAGCCATTTGCAGACCTTACTGTTAGATACCCTCCTGGGAACGAAGCATGTGGACAGTGCAGCTCTCATCAAACTCCAGGAGCGGAGCCTGTGTGTAGCATCACCAGGATTTAGTGTAAGAAAAAGCAAGCCTGGACATAAGTATTTGAAGCGAACTTTTCCTGTAAAGAGCTAGATAGTAACTATGTTTAGGCTTGCAGGCCGTATGTCTCTGTCACAACTACTCAACTCTTCAGATGTAATGAACAATACATAAAAAAATGGGTTTGGCTTTATTTATGGACATTGAGATTTGAATTTCACATAATTTTCACGTGTCAAAAAATATTCTTTTGATTTTTTTTTTTAACCACTTAAAAATGTAAAAAACATTCTTAGCTTGCAGGCTGTACAAAAATAGGCAGTGGGGCCAAATTAGGCCTGCGGGCCATAGTTGTTGACTCTGGTTTAACTCCTTATGCTCTGCAGGTAATGCCCAGTGATGTTCGAACACTTGTGAACGGATTCGCCAAGAACCCTTTACAAACGCGAAGAGAAGGATTATATTTCAAGGAAAAGGATTACAAATGTGTCCGGGCAGATGAATATTCTCTTTATGCTAAGAATGTGAGTGGGGCAAGATTTGAAGACAGCTGGATAAAAATGTTAAGAATTTGACTCTAATTTTTTTGCCCTCGTGATCCTATCTGTATAACAAACTAAGGCCATTACTGCCTCAAGGCAATGTCTGAGATAGCAGTCTAATGCCAGGATGGCCTATATGAAAGATAACACTATCAGAGAACCTGGTTTGGGGAAGCTTTCATTGGAGAAACTATCAAAAGATACCATTCCTGTGCTTAAAATCTCTCTTGGCTCCCTGTTGCCTCAAAGGAATTAAAGGGATGAAATTCACATTTATTGGATACCCTATATGGTTTAGGCACACTTCATCCACATTATAAACTAAATAGCCTCATTTTACAGATTAGGAAACTGAGGCTTAACAGGGTTAAATAACTCTCCCATAGTCATGTAGAAAATAGAGGTGCTGGGATTAATAAATTACAAAATTTCTTATCTTCCCATTACATCAGTTGTTCTCATTGGGATAGGGGTATATTACAATCAGTTGGGAACTTTTCCCAAATCCGTATGCTGTTATTCCAACAGTCTGAAACTTTTTGAGTAAAGGCAGCTTAATCAGTGGAAAAGAGTGGAGAGTCAAAAAACAAATATGTGAACATATGGAAGTCAAGAAATGGTGAAAAATGTGACTGAAGCGTAACTGCTGGTCCTATGATGAGGACCAAGAGAAGGGCATTCTGTTTTATTCTTTGTCCAGGAAAACACTGGTGTGGTGGTTGTGAAGACCCATCTGTATCTTCTGGTGGCGACTTACACTGAGGGCATGTATCCTAGTGTCTGTGTCGAAGCCACAGAGAAGCTGGGTAAGTTGCCTCCTGTCTGTGAGTTTCCCAAGGCTGCCATAACATAAGAGGCTGTTTTCTCCCTGAGTTGTAGTACAAAATCAGGGAGTCAGCAGGGCCGTGCTTTCTCTGTTGTGATGTTGAATAGGTAATTAATACATGTTTCATGAACAAATAAATTGGCTGCTAACCAAAAGGTTGGCAGTTCGGGTCCACCAGCCCCTCCTTAGAAGTCCTATGGGGCAGTTCTACTCTGTCCTGTCAGTCACTATGAGTCGGAATCAACTTGACGGCAGTGGGTTTGGTTTTTTGGTTTGGAACAGAGTCGGGAAGGAGCCCTGGTGGTGCAGTGGTTAAGCGCTCAGCTGCTAACCAGAAGGTTGGTAGTTCAAACCCACCAGCTGCTCCATGGGAGAAAGATGTGGCAGTCTGCTTCCGTAAAGATTTACAGCCTTGGAAACCCTATGGGATAGTTCTACTCTGTCCTATAGGGTCGCTATGAGTCAGAATCCACTCAGCAACAGTGGATGGTGGGTGGAGCAGAGTCAGGGAAAGTTACAGGGAGCTGAATCTTAAAGGATTAATTGAGAAATTAAGTACCACCATAGAAGCAAAATACACACACACAAATGTATATATTCACAGACCTTCTCAGTTTTCATAAATAGCTCCCTGGAGGGGACTATCATAAACCATGCTACACAGCTGCCAATGAGGTATTCTGGAAGCAAACAGGACTGAGCTGGAAAAGACACCATTTAGGAAACACTTAACAGAATAGGTGAACTCCAGCCCAGAAAGGACAGGATATTACAACTACCAAGGACCATTTCCGAGTAGGTGTCAGAATTTGAGACAGGTTCGGTTTCAGTGGGATAGAGCAGGAGCAGGAAGGCAGAACACAGATGTGTAAATCCAGAAAATGAGGCTAGGAAGATGGGCAATGAGGCTGTGGAGAGGCCAGGATCTATCTTATCAGATGGGGCCCAGGACTGATTCCCCAAGTCTCTGGTAGAGGCAAGGCTTCTGGGGACCAAAGACCCATGCAGAAGTGGACCAGAGAAGATGCCGGACACCTATAATGAAGATAAACTCTGTGGCTGGCAGCAAAGGTTGGGATTCTTGCTTAGGGCCACAAAAGAATGTTTGCTGGTTGGAAGAACACAGCTGACATCATGCCACTAAGATCCCACTGCTCTGAAAAGGGACAGGCTGTCTTGGAAGTGGTTGGATGCCCATAAGGGATAAACAAGGCTGGTACTCACCCAGGAGCCAGTTACTTGTCCCATTATTTCTATTTCTTTCATTTATTTTCTTTTAAATATATTTTTCTATAAAAGATTATACATAATGTAGAAAAATTGGGAAGTATTATGACTATTAAAAAATTTTATTATGAAAGATTCTAGCAGCATGGCAAATTTCTTAATTAAAGAAAACCTTTAGACAGTAATTAGGTAAAGGATGCTGCTACTTCTCTGACACAAATTAATCAGGTTTGTTTTTAAAACAAACGTTAGTGAATCACATACATTTGTAAAATGTTAATAGCTTTAATTCTAAGTCCTCAGTTTAAAAAAAAAAAAGAAATTTCAGTACAGGGGCAACAGTTTTTATCTTCAAAGCTTTTTTGTGACTTATTTTTAGTATTACTGAGTTATGAGAGAACCATGACTTTTTTCCTTCAATTTCTTGTGATCTCTCTGTAAAGTAAGGCTAGAGGATAAAAGCCAAGCAAGTATTCTAGTTTCTTCATTTAAGAGGTGCCTCATTTCTAACTGAATCTATATACAACAGAACTCGGCTCTATATTTTAATAGACAGATATGGATAGAAATAGATAGAAATTTTAATGGTTTCGGTATTTTATTCTCATGAGAATTTCATCTGGGACTACATCTTCAGATCTGTTACACAGATCAGTGGGGAAGTCTGATTCATTTTGCAGAATTTGTCTTGCAGCGAACTTGTCAGGAGTCCACTTCTTTGTCACTTTGTTGGTAGCTGCTGTCGAGTTGGCCCCGATTCATGGTGACCCCATGCAAAACAGAATGAAGCACTGCCTGGTCCTGTGCCATCCCCATGATTGTTGTGGATTGGACAATGTTCTACTGTGATCCATAGGGTTTCCATTGGCTGATTTTTAGAAGTAGATTGCCAGGCCCTTCTTCCTAGTCTATCTTAATCTGGAAGCTCTGCTGAAACTTGTTCAGCATCATAACAACACTCAAGCCACCGATGACAAACAAGTGGTATCTGTGTATGAGGTACATTTGCTAGGAATCAAACCCGGGTCTCCACCATGGGAGGCGAGAATTCTACCACTGAACCACCAATGCCTCTCTTTTGTCACTAAATACATCCCTGTTCTCCCAGAGTTTCTGTCATGATTGCAGTAAAGAAGGTAAGTTAAGTAATATCAAGCACTCAATTTAAGGAAAAGATTAGTGTTGTGATGAGTTAAGCCTTAGCTTTCAAAGTTATTATTATTAGCTTGTTAAAAATAAATTAATGCAATCAGTTTTAAATCTAGGTCATAGACAGCACAAGGAAAGGAAAGCAGCAGATTCTTTTGTTCCCCTGAACCCTCTTCTACTCTATTCCCTTTACCTAGCCATATGTATCCTTCTTCCTTTCTTTGCCTGGAAAATCAATTCATACTACAGGATTCAGTTCCAAGTACCTCTAGGTGGCATTTATTACTGTGAAGTATAACTGGTGTTTGTATATGTCTGTCTCCCCTACTAGACAATGAACTCCTTGAGGGCAGGGGCTCATCTTGACTACCTAGCGTTCTTGTATCTCCAGTACCTAGCACAGAGCCTAGCACATGGTGGTCAACAATGTTTGTAGAATAAATAAATTAATGAATGAATCATATCATAGTGGTAAATTACTGCTCTGTTTTTTTCCAGGAGAATATCTAAGAAAAAAAGGAAGCTAAGTCATCAGACAACTATGGAAGACAGTCTTTATTGTTTTAGAACTATAGAGCATCAATAAATAAATAATGCCTTATTTTATGGATGAAAAAACACCAGGCAGAAGATGCTGAAAAGGAACAATGAAGTAAAGGAGCAATTTTTCATATTTCAAGAGATCATCCCCCCCACACCACCACCCCCAGTATTGGTCATTTGCTCAGAATGTGAGAGCACCGATAGTTTTACAGGGCATATCTGTTGGGAGACTATCATTTATGAGGTTCTTGTGCTCCTACCCATCTTGCTGGGTATGCCCAGAATGTTTAAGGCCCTGACCGCCCTTTATCTAGGCTATTATTCAGGGTTATGTTGTAACAAGCAATCTTGAATATCTTCAGGACAAAGAGTAAGCTTTCTTACTGCTTGCTATACCCATCAAGTCAATTTCAACTCACGGTGACCCTATAGGACAGAGTAGAACTGCCCCACGGTGTTTCCAAGGCTGTAAATCTCTACAGAAGCAGACAGCCACATCTTTCTCCTTCACTACTTGCTATAAAAGAGGTAGAGTCCCTGCATTCAGCATTCCTCTCCTGAAACACAGCTTACTGTGTGTGCACCATCCATCTGGGCCCCTCCACATCACCCCTGTAGGAGTTGGGGGCAAGGGGAATCAAGACAAGAGACACCCAACAACGGGCCAGTCGTCAGGGTATTCAATAGACATCCCACACTCCTCACCATCTGCAGGCACCTTGTATTGTTGAGTGTTGGAATGGCTTTCTAAAAAATCAACTCAAAAAGACTTCAGACTATCTCCCTCACCTTCTCCTAGTCCAGATCATTTAGGAAGGCAGTATGGTCACTGAATACGATCATCCCCAGAAAGACTTCATCTTCTCTTGGTCACTTTCTGGGCGATGATCAGGACAATAGGGGTGGGGAGTTATATAACCTATTTTGAAAATTTAGCCTTCGACCCTGACCATTTCTGGGCATGATGCATCTTTCTTTACCTATCAGCAATCCCAGGGCAGCCTGACTGGTACACATGCCCCTGGGGAGAGAACACTTTAGATCTCTGGACACAAGTGAGCCTAGTGAATTCAAACTTAATTCTGGTTCAGCCAGATTGAATTGACATGGTCTTAGACCACTTGTTGAGTACACTGCTCTTCAAGTCCCTCTACAGTGTACTACGCAGGCCAAGGTGGGGGATAAAATGGAACTCTGTAAATTTTGTAAAAATGTCCTTGTCCCTCTTACAGCTAATTCTTCTAGACAAAAGAGCTGGGTACAAGTAGGGATGATTGGAAAAAAAAAACAAAACTAGTTATAGCTACTGGGATGGGATACACCAATTTTATGGAGGGAGAACAAAAACCCTGGCACCTGAGGAGGGAACACCTTAGACCCTGGGAGGTGAGGAAAGAGAGGGAGCAATTGATGCTCTTTTATTACCCTAGATTCAGTACCACAGCCTGGCAAAATAATCATATGGTCTAACATTGGCTTTTGTAAGTAGAATAAAATTAAACCTTAAACCCTTCTCAGTTCTTGACAATTATCAGGTAGCAAGTGTTCTGAATTCCAAAGACCTGATGTCTGAAATGAGGTGTCTTTTCTGAGTGTTTATAAAATTCTCCCATTTTCAGGATTTGTATGCACCCCTTTCAAACGGCTTACTTCCAACATCATACCTTTTCATTTAGTCAATTCAGTTACTTGGATTCTTTTTTGCAAGAAGGATAAAATAAATTTAAAATTCACTTATTCAGCATTCATTGAGTAGCCTACTGGTGATACAAAAGTAAATAATACATGTACCCTACCCCAGATAGGTCTGCAAACTAATGGGAAAGACAAGCTTGTAAATGAGTCACATTACAATGTGCTAAATGCTGTAACAGATATAAACCGAATATAGAGCAAAGAGCCTGGAGCAACTAACTGTGAATTCAGGAACCTGAAATGATTTTTGAAGTGAATCTGGAAACATGACTAAGTGTTTTCTAAGTATGGAAGAGAGCAAAGAGTATTCTAGGTTGAAGGAACAGCATATGCAAAGGCACAGAGTCAAGAAATTTCCTGTTGTGTGGAGAGAATGGTAAGAAGTTCAATGCGGCCAAAAAGTAGAATATGTGGGGAAGTGATAAATGAAATTGGGGAAGTGGATAGAGCCAAAGAGAAAAGGCCTACTTTCTTCAGGGTCACTCAAAGGACATCAAGCAGTGCTGTGGTAAGGACAGTAATTTTATAAAACTTTTGAAATTGTATTTAGAAAAGTAATACATACTCATGGAAAAAAGAAAAACCCTTGGGAAAATAAAAGTTACCTATAATTTCACATTAAATGAAAACTACCGTTGACAGTTTTGTTATTTTTTCCAGTATTTTTTCAATGCACATAATATATACGTTTCAACCAAAACTAGATCATCAATACATATGGTTTGATATCCCACTTTGTCCACTTAGCATAATGTTATGAGCCTTTTTGAATGTAATTAAAATTACTTCAAAAAACATTTTTAATCATTTCATAATATCGCATAAATACAATATCCTCTTTCTTAGATACTTAGATTATTTTTCATTTCATAAATATATTACTGCTTATCATTTTTACATAATTCTTTTCAGCTCTAATTATTTCCTTAGATCTGGAAGTGGAATTTTAGGGTCAAAGAGTCTGAAAACTTTAAGGTTCTCTGGAGTTTTTTAAACAGGGAAGGAGTTTTATACCATGGTCTATAAGCAGCTGTGATGGTTACGGTTGTGTGTCAACTTGGCTGGGCCATGATTCTCAGTAGTTTGGCAGTTATGTAATGATATAGTTTGGCATTTATGTAATGATATAATTTGGCAGTTATGTAATGATGTAGTTACTCTCCATGTTGTGATATAATGTAATCACCTCCCTAATGTGATCTGATGTGATCAGCCAATCAGTTGTAAGGGGAGTTTCCTCAAGGATGCGGCCTGCATCCAATACATACAGACATTCTGGCAAAGCTCACTGGCTTTTGTTCACTCTGGATCCTGCATCCAGCTTGTCATTTCACCTCTGATTCTTGGGATTTGAGCCAGCAGCTTGCCGTATTGCCTGATGATCTTGAGATTTGTTGGCCTCCACAACCTGTGAGCCGGCAGCTTGCCATCTTACCCACCAATCTTGGATTCGTCAGCCTCCGCAGCCCATGGGCCAGCAACCTGCCATCTGACCTGCTGATCTTAGGTTCATAGCCTCTGCAGCTACGTGATTCCGGAGAAGCCTCCAACCTGACACCTGACCCATAGACTTGGGACTTGCCAGGCTATAAAACTGCATGAGCTATTTCCTTGAGATAAATATCACCCCCCCCACCCCGTCTATCTATATACACGCTTCACTGGTTTTACTTCTCTAGCGAATCCAGCCTAAGGCATTTGGTACTGAGAGTGGTTCTAGAGAAACAAAATTGTAAGGGTGAGTTTTCTAAATTGGTTCTCAAGTCTAGTTAGTCTTACAGATGTTGATGACTCTGCCTCCAGTAGCAATGAGGGCACTGCTAATCCATGGCATGAGGTGGCAATAGAAATACACAAAATATCACAACCAATAGATCAAGTATTGGTGAGAGGCCAGGCTCTGGGTGATTGCATGTTTGATACTTTTCTACAATTTTGTTAGAATGAGAACTATAAGTAATCTGGTTGGTTGGTCCTACTTTTGCTAGACAAAGTGGTAAAACGAAGAGATGACCTCAGGGCTTCGGAGTCACAGCTCGAGCGCTGCATACAAGACCTGAAAGTTGCCATTTGTGCCCTGCAAAAAAGCCTTATTTCTTGCAGTAACTGAGCTGATATCGCCAAAAACCAAACCCAGAGCCTTATCATAAGAGTGGCTGAATTACAAAACCAATCGAACTCCCAAACTTGAATCGTGTCTGAAATTAAAGCAAGGGCATTGATTGAGAAGAAAATGAGATCCTGAAATCTGGGACGGGTACCTACGGGCAGATAATCCAGAAGCTAGGGACACTGAGCCCCTAAATTCCATTGAATCACTCCTGCCATCAGAACCAGCCCCCTCACTGCCATCTGAAGAGATTATCTTTGTCTGCTAAGCCACCTTCCCCAGTAAAACTGTTAGCCCCTTGATCCCCACCTAATGAGATTAACCCTGGTGCATCTGAAGAGCCTTTGAGATACCACCTGGGGCAGCATCTGGGTCATCACCTGGGGAGGCATCTGAGTCATTGCCTGGGGCATCACCTGAGGCAGATGTTCTCAGAACACATCCTCACCACCATTTTGGCTTCTAGACCTATAACTAGACCTAAGTCCCAGCAAGCCCCAAAAGATGAAGTACAAAGTGTGACACAGGAGGAGGTGCACTAAGCTCCAAAAGAACTGCATGACTTTTCTAACATGTACAAACAGAAACTGGAGAATATGTGTGGGAATGGCTATTAAAGGTGTGGGATAATGGTGCAAAGAACATAAAGTTGGATCAGTCTGAGTTTACTAAAGTGGGCCCACTAAGAACAGATTCTTTATTCACTGTTTCAGCTTGAGAGGTTAGGAAAGGATCTAATAGTTTATTTGGTTGGGTTAATGAAGCATGGATTATGCAGTGGCCTACACTAAATCAAGTTAAAGTACCAGGCCTGCCTTAGTATACTGTAAAAGAAGATATTCAAATGCTTAGGGAAATTGACATGTTAGAGTGGATTAATCAGGATAGACCCACAGACCCACACATGAAGTGCCCAGAGGACACACCTTTTACCACAACAGTGAGGAACAAATGTATGAAGGGAACACAGCATACTTGAAGATTGCTATGATTGCTATTTTATGTAAGTCAGATTTGACAGTGGGAACTGCCCTAACTAAATTAAGACACCTAACTACAATAGGCCTGATTGGACCCCATGGTGGTAGATGGCATTCAATCGACAAAGACAAGGTGGGCGAGGTAACTGTAATGGACAGTGGAGTCAAGGCAGTAATCAGAATAATCTTCACTAGTATGGACTTACGGCATTGGCTACTTAGTCATGGTGCCCCTAGGAGTGAAATCAACAGGAAATTTACTAAATATT